AGGTATATTATATATATATATATATATATATATATATATATATATATATATAATCTTGTATTTCTTTCTGTATGGGAGGTGGTAGGCTTACTGTACTAGAACATCTTAAAGACTCCTGAGGCTACAATGCGTCCACACTGGCAGTCTTGTCTGACTTTTAAGGTTCTTTGATGCTTCTTGCTTCTGGACTTCAACCCTATAAGAATTGACTAGAATCCTGGTTTCTCTTCACCATTTAAACAGGCTGGTGCTGGTTTGGTGCTGACTTACTCTTGTTTTGACCCTCTGCACAGTTCACTCCTCTGCCCCTGACTTTTCCCCAGTGGTGATCCTGTGCCATCCTAACTTAAGTTTCCATGTTACCTCCTATGTCTGGGTTATTTTTTCAGCCCGTTCCTACAATTCTGTCTCAGCACTAACTTGGCCTTTAAGTTTGAGGCTCCATGACCTCTCATTGCTTCTGGGTGCCAGTCAGGTTTTGGCAACTGTAATTATAGTTGATCATTTTGGGCCCTGGTTCCAGACACAAAGTAGGCTTATGCTGTTCCCTTTTCAAAAAGAGTTGCCAATTACATTCCTAGAATGGGGCTAGCCATCATTTTGCCTATGGAGCCCGTAGGAAATTGATATTGGCATTCCTCATTTATTTACTCATCAAATATATATTGAAGAAAACATATTGTTGTGACAGTGGGTTCATATTGGTAAACAAAACAGACAAAGTTACTACTTAGCCTATATTCTAGTAGGGCATGAATATAAGTATATTATAATACGTAAGACAAAAATATAAGAAAATCCAACAAGGCAACATCATTAGTCATCAGAAAAACAAATTTAAACCACAATGAGATACACCTACACACCCCCCAGAATAGGTAAAAATTTTTAAAAGCCTGGCAATTCCAAATGTTGGCAAGGAGAAGAAGCAACTGGGACTCTCCTATTTCCCTGGTAGGAGTACAAGATGGTACAACCACATTACAGAACTATTGGGAAAGTTCTTAGAAAGTTAAACACACATCTATCCTATAATCCAGAAATCCCACCCTCAGGTAAAGAAACAAAACCTAGGTACACACAAAGATCTGTACATGAATGTTCACAACAGCCTTAGTTGTAAGTACCAAAACCCAGAAACAACCCAAATGTCCAGCAACAGGTGCCCGGAGAAATAGTGATATATTTATACAATAAAGTACTAGCTAGTATAAATAAAGAAGGAACACACTGCTCGTACATGCAATGCATAGAGGAGTCCCACCAACATTACATTGAGGGAAAGGAGTCAGATTGAAACAAGTCATACTACATGATGCCATTTATATGAAGTACAATAGGCAAAAATTTTCCGTGATGATAAAAGACAATGGTGGGTGCTGGGCTGGGGGTTGAGGGATGGGAAAAGGCAAAATAGGAACTGATTGGAAAGGAGCACAGGAGAGTTTTCTGGAGTAGTGGAATGTTCTAGATCTTGATAGGGGTATAGGCTATACCGTGTATTCATTTGTCAAAACTCATCGAACTCAACTCTTAGGACTTGTGTGCTTTATTATACATAAATTAAACCTCAATAGAGCAAAAAAAAAAAACAAAACACAACTCCAACAAGACCATTTCAGATGATGATAAATGCTCTGAATAAAATCAAACAAGATACTGTGATGTAGGGTTGGGGCAGAGAGGGCTGGGGAGTGACCAGAGAAAGCCTCTCCAAGTTCAGGGTGGGACCCTTACAGATACCATGAGTTTTCCTAAGGACTGTGCTTTCCTAGTTAAGAAGAGCAACTGCACAGACAGGAGCCCATGTTAGTGGAATCATCTTGCAAAAATGTGTAGCCTCTCTGAATACCTTTGGTATTAATGGTCCAGACCAGCTGTTCTCACAGTGTGATTCCCAGCATCAGCATCACTTGGGAACTTGTCAGATGCAAATTCTCAGGCCCGGCCCTGTACCTACTAAATCAGACACTCTGGGGATTGTCTTCACAAGCCCTCTAGGTAAGAGCCTCTCAAGTGTGAGAACCACTGATCTAGAAACTTGGTACTCAAAGTGTGGTCCTGGGACCAGCAGCAGCACAGGCCTCACCTGGGAGCCCGATGTAATGCAGAATCTCAGGCCCTATGCTTGATTTACTGGATTCAAATCTGCAATTATTTTTTTGTTTTGTTTTGTTTTAATGTGTACTTATTTCTTTTTATTTCTTTTCTAAAATAATTTTTGTTTAGTTTATTTTTTAAATTTATATGTTAGTTAGCATATGGTGTAACAATGATTTCAGATTTCTTAATGCCCCTTACCCATTTAGCCCATTGCCCCTCCCACAACGCTCTAGCAACCCTCTGTTTGTTCTCCATATTTAAGAGTCTCTTATGTTTTGTCCCCCTCCCTGTTTTTATATTATTATTTTTGCTTCCCTTCCCTTATATTCATCTGTTTTGTATCTTAAAGTCCTCATATGAGTGAAGTCATATGATACTTGTCTTTCTCTGACTGACTAATTTCGCTTAGCATAATACCCTCTAGTTTCATCCATGTAGTTGCAAATGGCAAGGTTTCATTCTTTTTGATTGCTGAGTAATACTCCATTGTGTGTGTGTGTGTGTGTGTATATATATATATATATATATATATATATATATATATACACCACATCTTCTTTATCCATTCATCGATTGATGGATATTTGGGCTCTTTCCATACTTTGGCTATTGTTGATAGTGCTGCTATAAACATGGGGGTGCATGTGCCTCTTCAAAACAGCACACCTGTATCCCTTGGATAAATACCTAGTAGTGCAATTGCTGGGTCGTAGGGTAGTCCTATTTTTAATTTTTTGGAAACCTCCATACTGTTTTCCAGAGTGGCTGCACCAGTTTGCATTCCTACCCACAGTGCAAAAGAGATCCTCTTTCTCCACATCCACGCCAAGTTGTTAATGTTAGCCATTCTGACCGGTGAGGTGGCATCTCATTGTGGTTTTGATTTGTATTTCCCTGATGATGAGTGATGTTGAGCATTTTTTCATGTGTCAGTTGGCCATCTGGATGTCTTCTTTGGAGAAGTGTCTATCCATGTCTTTTGCCCATTTCTTCACTGGATTTGTTTTTTGGGTGAGTTTGATAAGTTCTTTATAGATTTGGATACTAACCCTTTATCTGATATGTCATTTTCAAGTATCTTCTCCCATTCCATTGGTTGCCTTTTAGTTTTGTTGATTGTTTCCTTCGCTGTGCAGAAGCTTTTTATTTTGATGAGGTCCCAATAGTTCATTTTTGCTTTTGTTTCCCTTGCCTCCGGAGATGTGTTGAGTAAGAAGTTGCTGCAGCCAAGGTCAAAGAGGTTTTTCCTTCTTTCTCCTTGAGGATTTTGATGGCTTCCTGTCTTACATTTAGGTCTTTCATCCATTCTGAGTTTATTTTTGTGTAGGTGTAAGAAAGTGGTCCAGGTACTTTTTTCTGCATGTTGCTGTCCAGTTTTCCCAGCACCACTTGCTGAACAGACTGTCTTTACTCCACTGAATATTCTTTCCTGCTTTGTCAAAGATTAGTTGGTCATATGTTTGTGGGTCCATTTCTGGGTTCTCTATTCTGAGTGTCTGTGTCTGTGCCAGTACCATACTGTCTTGATGATTACAGTTTTGTAATACAGCTTGAAGTCCAGGATTGTGATGCCTCCTGCTTTGGTTTTCTTTTTCAAGATTTCTTTGGCTATTCAGGGTCTTTTCTGGTTCCATACAAATTTTAGGATTGTTTGTTCTAGCTCTGTGAAGAATGCTGGTGTTATTTTGATAAGGATTGCATTGAATATGTAGATTGCTTTGGGTAGTATTGACATTTTAACAATATTTGTTCTTCCTATCCAAGAGCATGGAATACTTTTCCATTTTTTTGTGTGCCTTCTTCAATTTCTTTCATAAGCTTTCTTTAGCTTTCAGTGTATAGATTTTTCACCTCTTTTGTTAGATTTATTCCTAGGTATTTTATGGGTTTTGGTGCTATTGTAAATGGGATCCATTCCTTGATTTCCCTTTCTGTTGCTTCATTGTTGGTGTATAGGAACTGCATTTTATTTTATTTTATTTTTTAGTTTATCTATTTATTTTGAGTCAGAGAGAGAGAGAGAGAGAGAATAAGCAGGGAAGGGGTGGGGGTAGGAAATGCAGTGGATCTTAGAGAGCCTGATATGGGGCTCAAACTCACAAACTGTGAGATCATGACCTAAACTGAAGTTGGATGCTTATCAGACTGAGCCACCAGGTGCCCCTCAAAATCTGCATTTTAACAAGATTCCCAGAAGATTCATGTGCACATTGAAGTTTGAGTTCATTTTTGTTTACTTGGTTTTTTTGCCTACACGATGTTTTGAAAGTTGAGGCATTCTACATAAAATTCTGGATTCCTACTTTTCTTGAAAAATTTAACTATTTAGGGGTGAAAAAAAAAACTAAACCATTTGACAACTGTGGGTTCATATCCCACACAGCAGGACTCAGCTGGAGGTATCTGTCGTTCCCTTTGGAAAGGGCATATGTTTTTTTGGTTTGCCATTGTCCCCACCACTCCTTATTCCCTTTTACCTGGCCTGCATCACTCACTTCTGTCATCTGCCTGGCCCCTGTAGGCGTATGAGTTTGAGACCCTTGACTAAAGGCCATCTGAGATCAAGACACAGGATGCTTTTTGCCTCCTCTGGGTCAGTGGAGTTTCATCCAGAGCCCTGAAAGCAGCTCCTAGTTTAGATAATGTTTTGATATCCCCTGCTGCTCTCCTGAACAGACTTAAGGCCATTAGCAGAAGAGACGATTGGATCAGTGGTCCCCTGACTGTCTTTGCAGGCTCTCAGGCTGTTTTTTGTTTTTTGGGTTTTTTTGGTTTTTTTGGTTTTTGTTTTTGTTTTTTTCAGCAGTCTGCAGAAGCATGTAGGGCAAAGTCCCAAACAGATGTTGGCAAATGCCCTTTGAATTGCTGAGCTAAGCCTGAGAACATCAGCTCCTGGAGAGATCTGAGCTTTCTGAAGAACTGAGGTGGTTATGAAGTTAATATTCTTTTAGAACAAAATGATAGACATGTTGTCTGGAATGAGCACCAAAAGAAATCTTTGGCTAAGAATAGTCAAGTCCTGATGGAAAACTGGACAGGCTACTTTCAAATAGCCACACAAAAGAGAAGGGAATTACAGGTTAAGTGAGGTATATGAAAAAAATATATATAACTTCCAAAAACATAGAAGTTGAAGAAGTTGATCATATTACAGAATTTTGTCCTTTATCAAAAGATCCATGGCAAATGGTCCTTATTCAGTGAACATGTGATTCCGTTTATTTACAGCAAGTATAAAGTAGGGCAGACCCACACCATATGCCCAATGCTCCTTTCTGGTTCAGAATGGGTACATCCATGTGTTAGTTTCCTGTGCCTGCTGTGACAAATGACCACAAACTTGGTGGCTTAAAACAACAGGAGGGTATTCTCTCAGCTCTGGAGGCCAGAAATCTAAAATCAAGGAGTCAGCAGGGACACACTCTCTGAAGTCTCTAGGGAAGGATCCTTCCTTGCCTCTTTCAACTCCCTGTGACTCTGGGTGTTCCTTGATTTAAGGCCACATCATTCCAGTGATGATCCTCCTTCTTTACATGGGCTTCTCCTCTATGTTTCTGTTTCAACTCTCCTCTCCTTTCTCTTATAAAGACACTGGTCATTGGACCCACCCTAAATCCAGGATGATCTCATCTTGAGATCCTTAATCACATCTGCAAAGGCCTTATTTCCAAATAAGGTCACATTCACAGGTACAGGGATTAGGCACTTGGACCTACCTTTTTGGGAGGCAATTATTGAAACCATTACAGTGTGCAAAAAACATCCCACTCAGAGCATGGACCACTGACCACACATACCAGACCCACCTGGTACCTTTCTAAGAACATCTCAGACCTTCTAAAACCATCCCCTGGAGGGTGAGGCCCAGGAATCTACCTTTGAACACACTTCCCATGTGATTCTTATCCTGAGTTCAAGAATCACTGTACCAAGACCCTTTTGCTTTGTGTATTAAAAAAATAAATCACTCAGTAGAGCAGCAAAAGAAACAACAGTCATGGAATGAGAACAATAAGCAGCAAAGAAATCAAAACCCCTCTGCCCAAAAATAGGTGCTGAAGCACCTGGGAATACCTAACCGATCTCAACATCACATTTTGAGAGTTAAAAGAAATTAGAGTTTCAAATGCTCCATAGTATATTCTGGCAGAGCATCTGTATTCTGGGTGTATTCTCTCTGCACCTGTAAATAGATGGTCAACTAATAACTCAGAAAGAAAATACCTTACCTAAAAACCACCACCAAAAGGTGGTAAGAGGGAGGGACAGATTTTAAAAGTTTTGTGAGGCATGTGGTTTAAGCCTTCCTAATTATCCATGAAAACAAAACATTCCACTTTTCCTGACTGCAACACTGGGGAGAGCTGTGTATTTGGGCCGATTGTGATTTGTGCCCAGGTCTTAATTTATAAAGGTGGCTGAGTAATGACACAGAGAGGTCACTGTCACTAGAAGAACTTTATTACTTACATTTCCCAAGAGGAGGGGCACACCATGCCACACAAGCCCACAGGGGAAGGACCAGATTTGTTGGGAGGTGGCCCAGAACCTTTACTGTGTTTTCCATGGGACAGGCAAGACAGGGCAGTGGAAACAGCTTAGGATTTGGCTGGCCTGAGTAATGTGGGCAGGCTCTGGGCTACAGGTGCAGTCTCCAACTGTCTGGTACCTGGCCCTGGGTGACCTGGCACTGGGGAAATATTGGCCGGGGCTTGAGGGGGTGGTTGGGGATATGGATTCAGTATGGAGTATGGGCTCCTAACATGATTTTCACTCACTCCACAAAAGCTGGATCACAGGGAAGATATAAACAATTTGGGCTGTTAGTTTGGCCCTGTGATAACAGATGCAAATAGACAAATACAGAACCTAAGAAAATACAATTAGAACAGATTGCTGAGGGGCACGTATCCCCAATCCAGCAATTAGTATCTAAGATCCCTCCACCCCACTTTGTTCTAGAAGCCAAACCCTCTTAAGAAATAATCAGATTTGCTTGAAGCTATTTTTAAAGATTACTCTGCTCATTGTGAACCCTGTATTGGTTAAAAATTGTTGATTTTAATCTTAAATGAAAAGCAGATTTTCCATAACTCTGTGATTGTGGAAGAAGAAGAGGTGTTGTGTGGAAATGATCTTCAGTTTCAAAAGAGTAATTTGTGAGTTTGGATTATGTTTTTCACTCTGTCCACTGCAGCAGAGCTAGAGGATGAACAAGAAAAACTAGCCTAGCTCCTGTTTGGGGTTTTCCTTTCATGAAATACCAGCACGTTCAGATAGAGCTTTATAAACATGGTTTCTTCTCCTCCTACAGATATGCCAAGTACTATAAGGAAAACAACGTTGAAAAACGGACTCTGATAAAAGTCTTTGGGATCCGTTTTGACATCCTGGTTTTTGGCACCGTAAGTCTCTGCTCCCAGCCACTGGCACCTCCATTCCTGTGACTGCATCCTAATTATTGTTGTAGTGCCTGAAGGGGTGAATGTTGCCACCATAGTCATGAGCTGGCACTGTGCATTAGCATGTGGGATAAGAGGGGGAAGAAGTGTCCTTGGGGTCCTGTCCACAATGAAGTCATCTGATGAGTACAAGAAAGGGACTGGAAAAAAATTTTTAATATTCAATTTAAAAAACGCTCTGATGCTTAGGGGCGCCTGGGTGGCTCAGTCGGTTAAGCGTCCGACTTCGGCTCAGGTCACGTTCTCACAGTTTGTGAGTTCAAGCCCCATGTCGGGTTTTGTGCTGACGGCTCAGAACCTGGAGTCTGCTTCAGATTCTGTATCTCCCTCTCTCTCTCTGCTCCTTCCCCACTTGTGCTCTGTCTCTCTCACTCACTCTCTCTCTCTCAAAAATAAATAAACATTAAAAAAAAAATACTCTGATGCTTAGAAAAAGAGAAAGAGAAAGAAATCCCTTTGCAACTTTGAGCCAACTCAAACTGGCTTAGGGGAAATTTTTTTTTTTAATTTCACATAGTTAAAAAACTCAGGGGCAGTTTTCAGGATTCAGGCATGGCTGGATCCAGATGTTCAAATAACATCATTAGGAATCTGCCTCCCTCCATTTCTTACATATGTTCTCCTCTGTTTTGGCATCATCCTCAGCTATCCATTTCTACACAGTGGTTTCAGGCAGCTCCTTATATCTTGCCAGGTTAGCAATCTCAATACAAAGAGAACGTGTCTTTGCTAAAAGTTTCATCAAAGGCCTCAGGCAGATGCGATTGGCTCTGACTGGCCCAATATGAGCCCCATGCCCACTGCTGAAATAATCACTGTTTGGATCATACCATACTCTCAAATGCTGATCTTGGACTTGCCTTGAACCAGCTCCTTGCCTGCAAACTACATGGACCAAGTATGGACAGAGACGGTTCTCCAAAGGGAAACTGGGGTGCTATCTCCAGAATAAGGAGGGAGGGGATGCTGGGCATGCAAAATCCATAGATGCTCACAATGCCTTCTCCAACAGTATATTATTTATGTCATATAGTGCTAAGCAGCACAAGAGTCAATGAGATAGAAACTGAGAGGACAGAAAGACCACCGAGAATAAAAACCACAAGGGCCCCTAAGGGAAGACGATGCAGACATTCTTCCCCTCTGCTTCCAAAGTAATCGTAAACCACTTTTAGGGCAAACTTGTCTGAAACTCTCACCTTGTATGGAAAAACAACAAACCTTTAATGGTTCTCCTCTTGGTGTGTGGACTCCAGTGCTTCTTTGTTTAAAACACTCATGTTTTTGAGCACATCCCAGAAGGCAGAAGCAGAACGAATGGGTATCCTATTTTCAGTCTCTGTGGCCTCTGTTACCGTGAACAACTTGGACTCATCTATGGAAGTCACGGTCACAGACTCCCTCCTCTGCTGGAGCTAACAATTACATGTTAGAGCAAAAGAGCACTGCTCTGAATGTCAATGAAGTAACCTTTTCCATTCCGTTTTCAGGGAGGGAAATTTGACATTATCCAGCTGGTCGTGTACATTGGCTCAACCCTCTCCTACTTTGGTTTGGTAAGGGATTCTTTCCCGTGTTTTAGGAAAGTGATTTGGCAAAAAGAAATCTCGCTAACATGGCCCTGGTCTGGGTTTTTTCCCAGGCCACTCTGTTCATTGACTTTCTCATCAACACTTACTCGAGTAAATGCTGCCGATCCCACATTTATCCATGTTTCAAGTGCTGCGAATGCTGTGCAGTCAATGAATACTACTACCGGAAGAAGTGTGAAACCATCGTGGAGCCCAAGGCGGTAAGGCACGTCGCGTCAGGAGGTGCCAAAACACCCAGAAAGTCCATCAGATCACTGAGAACCATACAAAAATAAGGCCAAAATCACAAGTGTAATCCCATGGTGGACAAGTGTCTGGACTCTACCCTGATCCACCACTCTCAGATGAATCCTTTTTGGTCTTAGGGAAGAATAGAAATAAAAATAAAGAGGCAAGATAGAGGGAGAACAAATTTTTATGTTCTAGGACTTGTCAATTTCATCAGAGTTATTAATTTAGTTCAGCAAAAAAAATAATAGTAAAATGACTTTGGAGAACAATTTGGCAGTATCTAGTAACATTTAAGTGGGACATACTTTACAGCCTGGCATTTCCACTTCTCCATACCTGCCCTTGAGAAGCACTCACGTGAGTGCCCAAGCAGTACCATGTACACTTGATCCATTGCAGCACTGTCTGTAACAGTGAAGAAAGAGCATCTACCCAAGTGTCCAACAGGCAGACGGTGAAAGAAACTATGGTCCATAGCAAGGAGTGCCAGGCACCAGTTTAAAAGAATGAGGTGGATAATAATAAGAGCAAACATTTTACAGCACTTCAAAGTGCCTCATATCTATTAATTCACTGAATCTTCACAACAACCCTATAAATAGATGCTACTATCATCTCTTTCTAAAGATGAGGAAGTTGAGGTGCAGGAGGGTTAAATAATTTGCCCAAAGCCATACAGCTACTCAGTGGCAGAGCTGAAATTCCAGCTTTAGGCAGGCTGGTTTCAGAATCCAGAATGCATCTTCAGGACCACTGTGTCATAAGTACTGGCATGAACAAACATCCAAAATGCGTTGTTGAAAGCAAAACAGCAAACTACAGGACAACATATATGGCATGATATATAGGCTAAAACACAACTACAGACATATACTTACTTTATGTGTTTTCTACATGTATATTATATGTGTACACATATACACACAAATACACACATATATTCTATATATATGTATTCTCTATGTTTTCCACATTTATTATACACACACACATTTGTGTATAGGGAGGGTAACATGTACACTAAAAGTTACTGGACACACACAAAAGTGACAACAGTGATTCCTTCTGCAGAGGAGCCTAGAATGGGGGACTTGTCAAAGGGAGTTTTAGCTCATCTGCATTGTTTCAACTTATTTAATTTGGGTTTTAGTAAGCAAGTCCCCTACACTTGGTTCCATGATTTCCCCCCATCAAGGAGAGATCTCCAGTACCTAAAACAACAAAGAAGGTTTCTTTGTCTTTCCCTCATCCAAGAATATTATTGTTCTTTCCCAGCAGCTGAATGCACAATTCACTGGCCACTGTACGTGTATTATACAATTTGAAATAAAAGTTCATTTTGAAACTGAAAACAATTACCATTTCACGGCCCAAGATGGGATGAAACTCGACAAAAATAATAAACAGCTTAAGTTGCAATAGTACAGTTTTCTGGAGATATTCCATCTAGAGTAACTGAAATCGAGGGAACACAACAAAGGACTTTTACATTGCACGTGGGAGACTTAAAAATAGCAGGTGGTAAACCGAGGAGACTCCAAGCCGGCATATTACGTGCATAGGGCTCCACAGCTAATTTACCTTTAGACTCAGACATCATTCTTGGCTAGCAAGAGTTTTGGGTCAGCTTCTCTACAGTATGTTGTTGGGTAAATAGGAATAACATTTGCCTTTAGATATGTTTCAGGTGTGTGATTGTTGATAATTCTGTACAAAAATGGGTAAAAATTTTAACCCTTTTTTCCTAGACGTTAAAATATGTGTCCTTTGTGGATGAATCCCACATTAGAATGGTGGACCAGAGGCTACTTGGGAGAAGTCTGCAAGGTGTCAAAGGTGAAAAAGTCCCAGTAAGTTAAAACATTTAGTCTTTTTTTAAAATAAAATGTATTATTAAATATAAATATATCTATCAATTTGGGTGAGTCACAATTGATGAATTCTAACACAGTTAAGTACATGTAACCAGCACTCAGAATATTATTAGCAGAAACACTTTTCATGCATCCACCCAATAACACTACCTTCTCTTAAAAGTCATCACTATCCTGCACCCAAAGATTAGTTTTATCTCTTCCATAATTTTATAAAATTTGAATCCTATGTGTATTTAGTATATACTCTGTGGAGTGTCTGGCTTCTTTCATTCAACATTATTTTTGTGAGTCATCCATAACACTGAATATAGCAATAGTTCAATCTCATTGTGTATCATTTCCATTTTATAAACATGCAATTTATTTATCCCTTCTATTGGTGATGGACATTTGGGTAGTTTCCAGTTTGGAGCTCATGCCAAAAATTCTGCCATGGTAAACATATAGCACCTACAAGTGGACCTGCTGGATCAGAAGACAGGCATATGATACTACCAAACCATTCTCTAAAGGGGGTGGTTTGGTTTTTGTTTGTTTTTGAGAAGGGAAGGGGCAGAGAGATCGGGAGAGAGAGAGAATCCCAAACAGGCTCCAAGCTGTCAGCACAGAGCCCCATGCAGGGCTCGATCTCATGAACCATGAAATCATGACCTGAGCTAAAATCAAGAGTAGGTCACCTAACCATCTCAGCCACCCAGCCACTCCTAAAGGAAGTGCTTTAATTCCCACTCTCCTCAGCAGCTCTGATTGCTGGATAGCTTCACTAACTGTATTATTTCTATAGCTGCCATAATAAGTCACCACAAATTAAGTAGCTTAAAACAACAGAAATTCATTTTCTCACAATTCTGGAGGCTGTAAGTCTGAAATCAAAACATTGGTAGGGCTCCGCCTGAAGGCTCTAGAGGAGGATCCTTCTTTGCCTCTTCCAGCTCCTGGTGTTTATTACACCTGCTAGGACCTCTGGTACAATACTGATTAGAAGCTGTAACAGCAAGCCTCTTTGTCTCCTTCCCTACCTCAGGAAAAAAAACTTTCTATATTTTACTATAGCATTTGCTGTAGGTTTTTTTTTTTAAGTTTATTTATTTATTTTTGAGACAGAGAGTGAGAATGCAAGCAAGTGGGGGAGGGGCAGAGAAAGAGGGAGAGAATGAGAATCCCAAGCAGGCTCCATACTGCTAGCACAGAGCCCGATATGGAGCTCAAACTCATGAACCTTGAAATCAAGACACGAGCTGAAATCAAGAGACAGACACTTAACTGACCTAGCCACCTGGGCACCCCTGCTGTAGGATTTTAATGAATGCTTTATTAGATTAAGAAAAGTCCCCTCTGGGGGCACCAGGGTGGCTCAATTAGGTGAGTGTCCGACTTCAGCTCAGGTCATGATCTCACAGTTCGTCAGTTAGAGCCCCACATCTGGCTTGCTGCTGTCAGTGCAGAGCCCATTTCAGATCCTCTGTCCCTCTCTCTCTCTCTGCCCCTCCTCAGTTTGTGCTCTCTCAAAAATAAAATATCGGGGCGCCTGGGTGGCTTGGTCGGTTAAGCGTCCGACTTCAGCTCAGGTCATGATCTCACAGCCCGTGAGTTCGAGCCCCGCGTCGGGTTCTGTGCTGACAGCTCAGAGCCTGGAGCCTGCTTCTCATTCTGTGTCTCCCTCTCTCTCTGCCCCTCCCCTGCTCATGCTCTGTCTCTCTGTCTCAAAAATAAATAAAAAACATTAAAAAAAATTAAAAAAAAATATTAAAGAAAGAAAGGAAGAAAGGAAAGAAGGAAGAAAGGAAGGAAGCCCCTCTGTTCTCAGCTTGCTAAAAATTTTTATCATAAATGGATACTGAATTTTAAAATAATGCTTTTTTCTGCTTTTTAAAAAAATGATCAATGAGCTTTCCTTTTTCTGTTATGTGGTGAATTACACAAATTGACTTCCAAATATTAAGCCAACCTTGTATTCCTGCAATAAAATCAACTTGAATGTAATGTATTATTCTTTGTATTTATTGCTGGATTTGATTCACAAATACTTAAGATTTTATATCTCTTATTGAGAGAGGCTGGCCAAAATTTTTCCATTCTTGAAATGTCCTTGCTGGATTTGGGTGTAATGTGAACTTGGGGCAGGGAGGAATACACACAACATAAAATTTACCATTTTAACCATTGTAAAGTGTACAATTCAGTGACATTTAAAATTCAAAATTCAAAAGTTTATCCACAATGCTGTGCAACCATTGCACTATCTAGTTCCAGAACATTTTCATCAACCCACAAGGAAACCCTGTATTCACTCAGCAGTTACTCCTCATACCCACTTCCACCTGGTCCCTGGAAATAATTTTTTTCCTGGCAATCATCCATCTGCTTTCTGTCAGCATGTGCACCTATTTGGGACATTTCATATAAACACAATCATACAAAATTCGTATGATTTTTGTGTCTGACTTATTTCACTTTTCATAATGTTTTCAAGGTTCATCCATGTTGTAGCAGGTGTCAGTACATTGCTCCTATTTTTTTTTTTAGATGAATAATACTCCACTGCATGGATATAACATATTTTTAACAAACTATAGAGATGATCTCTGAAAGTACAAGTCTTTGGACATAACATATTTTTATCCATTCATCCATTGGCAGACATTTGGGTTGTTTTTAGCCTTTGGCTACTGTAAATAGTGCTGCTGTACGCGCTCATGTATAAGAACTACTTAATTTAAAGGAATGTACTCACGGGCACCTGGGTGGCTCAGTAGGTTGGGCATCTGATTTCAGCTCAAGTCATGATCTCACTGCTCGTGAGTTCAAGCCCCATGTCTGGCTCTGTGCTGACAGCTCAGAGCCTGGAGACTGCTGCAGATTCTGTGTCTCCTTCTCTCTCTGCCCCTCCCCAACTCACACTCTATCTCTCTCTCTCTCAAAAATAAACATTAGGGGCGCCTGGGTGGCGCAGTCGGTTAAGCGTCCGACTTCAGCCAGGTCACGATCTCGCGCTCCGTGAGTTCGAGCCCCGCGTCGGGCTCTGGGCTGATGGCTCAGAGCCTGGAGCCTGTTTCCGATTCTGTGTCTCCCTCTCTCTCTGCCCCTCCCCCGTTCATGCTCTGTCTCTCTCTGTCCCAAAAATAAATAAACGTTGAAAAAAAAATTTTTTTTAAATAAACATTAAAAATAAATAAAGGTACAGACTCAAACTCTGTGAATGAAGGTCTGTGTTACAAAGAACAGATATGAATTATGGCAACTTTTCTTGGAGGATAACAAATGGATTTGCCAGAAGAAGGAGCCTGGTGGAAAGAGGGCAGAGCAAAGTCAACAAACATTTACTGCCTATAATGTGCTGGGTACCATCCTAGGCACTGGGGATACAGCAGTAACAAAGCCCCCACTTTCATGTGGAAGAAGAATCATCAGGCGAACATATCAATTAGGAAGATTATTTCAGATAGTGATAAGGACGATGAAGAACACAGTATCTCATGATGCGCCAAGAAAATGACCTGGGTGGCGGGAACTCCCTAGACTGGGGTGGTCAGGGCAAAAAAGTCTCTCTGAAGAGGTGATACCTGCCTTGAGGCCTGGCTATTCTGAATTTCACTTTCCAAATCTGTAAAATGGAGATAAGGACACATATCTCATGAGGTTCTTCAAAGGCTAAATAAGTCGAGTTTATAAAACACTAGCATAGTCTTGATACATACATACATTTGATAAATGAAAGCTACTATTCATGGGATATCAGGTGTAATTTTATAAATTAATACCAAAATTAAAGAACCTAGACACCTAGGGGTTGTCATTGCTGATGGGCTTGGAAACTTGGCTTTTTCAGAGACCCTCAACGGACTTCACAGACTTGTCCAGGCTGCCCATGTCTCTCTGTGACCCACCCCCTATACCTGGACAGCCGGAGGAGATGCAGCTGTTAAGTGAAGTGACTCCTAGATTCGGCGACAGCCCTGCCTGGTGCCAGTGTGGACACTGCCTCCCGTCCCAACTCCCTGAGAGCCACAGGTGCCTGGAGGAGCTGTGCTGTCGGAAAAAGGCTGGCGCCTGCATCACCACCTCGGAGCCATTCAGGAAGCTCGTCTTGTCCCGGCGCGTCCTGCGGTTCCTTCTGCTCTACCAGGAGCCCTTGCTGGCGCTGGACGAAAACGCCAACAGCCAGCTGCGGCACTGTGCCTACAGGTGCTACACCACCTGGCGCTTCGGCTCCCAGGACCTCGCTGACTTTGCCATCCTGCCCAGCTGCTGCCGCTGGAGGATCCGGAGAGAGTTTCCCAAGAGTGAAGGCCAGTACAGTGGCTTCAAGAGTCCTTACTGAAGGCACAGGGCTGAGCAGTCATGTGAACATGACCTTTGTTTGCAACCTGAGCTTGACCTGCAAAGATCTGTGGCCAAATTTTCAGCCAAAGGGAAATGTGTTTTCCTCTCCTGCAGCTCTATGTGTGTCAGAGAGCAGACCGAACAAATAGGCACATAAGCCAGAACCCCTCAGCATGGACCGAGTCAAGAAATTCAGATTGATGTCTCAGTTCTGTCACTGGGAAGTTGTGTGATCCTAGGCCTTTAACCTCTGTTCCTCGTTGCCCTATTACCCAACCTATCTCACAGAGATACTGGGAGGACAAATTGGGAGAGTGTACATGAACTTTCTTGTTCATGCACAAAGAGCTACATGAATGCAGAGCCTCCTTATGAGGCCAGAGTGGGATAATGGACAACTACGAACAAACCCTAACCAACCGTTTGGGTGCTGGTTGGAAAATGTGGATGATTAAAAGTGGCCACAAATTCATCGGCACTGATGCCTCGGAACCTGAGGGTTATGTCTCCTCCCCTTGCATCTGGGCAGCTCTGATTGCTTTATCCAGTACTACAAGTAACGCTGTGCCAGCCTTGGTCTTGAGGCTGACAGGAAGCTTCCACTTCCTGTCGCTTGACACATCTGCTGTGAAGGAAGCTAGCCCCGGTATAAACGTCCATCCTGAGACCACCCTACTGTGAGGAAGCGCAAGTGGCCACATGGAGAATAGAGACACCTGACCAGTCCCCAGCTTTCAGGCCTTCCAAACCCGCTCACTAGACATGGGAGAGAAGCATTCAGGTCATTCCATACCCTGCTCACATATTACTGCAATTGCATGAGACGCTTCCCAGGGAACCCGCAGAACAAAATTGTTGCTGTTCTTTTTGTCTTAACGTTTATTTATTTTGAGAGAGAGAGTGAGCACGTGCAAGCAGAGGACAGGCAGAGAGAGAAGGAGAGAGAATCCTAAGCCGGCTCTGCACTGTCAGCACAGAGCCTGACGGGGGCTCAGTCCAACGAGCCATGAGATCACGACCTGAGCTGGAATCGAGTCAGACGCTTCACCGACTGAGCCACCCAGGCACCCACGGAACTGTTGTCTTAAGCCACTAAATTTGGGTTGTTTGTTACACAGCAACAGATGACTGGGACAGAGAGCAAGCCTGACTCACTGGAACAGAGGCTCAGCCTATACCTGGACCACCACAGAAGTCCCTTAGGGGCTTAGGTGTCTGTTCAGCAATTCTATCGGGGCTGCAGACCAAATCAGGTAACCCACCAGACCAGCTCTGGAATCCATCCGATCTCACTGCTGAGCTACCCGATACATTCTAATCCACATCCTACTTCTATGACTGGAAGTAGCTACTGCTGTTAAAAACTAGAAAAGGCCACGTTTATGCCTTTAACGTTCTGTACCTTGCAGACAATTAGAATGGATGAGGTTTGGATGCTCCTTAAAAAGTAACTCACACCCAAACCTTTACCATTTCTATACGTCAACTCCTAAGAATATGAAAATGGAGAGTCAGGAGGTTTTAGGATCCTCCTTCAGGATTTCCTTTTCACGGTTTTGGCACTGGAATTGATTATTTCTAAACAACTATTTTAAAGAATAAATAGAGACCACTATTCAACACTGTGAGTGATGAAGGATCTGTGATTTTTTAGCACATATTCCAAGATTTGCCATTTAGATACTTTTTGAAAACCAGACGCTTTCTACTGTATTAATGTAAATCAAATATGAACAAGACACTTTTTTTTTTTGACCCAGGATTTTATCTGGCTTTAAACTCAGGAATAAGCTAGGCCAGACTGAACTTTCATTTTTGCTACTGTTCAGAGGTAGTAGATAGGACTTCTTATATATATGAGATCTTTTTGAAAAGTGAATGATACATTACTTCTTCAGAATTTAAACTTTTACTCCTAGAATTCTATGTAAGAGCTACAGATCTCCATTCTGACAGCCTCTGAGCCTTTGTAATTTTTTTTGTTTTTTTGTTTTTGTTTTTGTTTTTGTTTTTGTTTTTGTTTCTGGTGCCTTCTCCCTGGTTTCTATCACCTCTGGAGGTCCCAAATGGAGTCAGAATGTGGAATGACAGGTAGTCACTGGATCCACCTACTATTCTCCTCTGCCTTCCTCACAGATGCTTTAGGTGACAGAGTGATGTGTTATGTCAACCGTGTGTGAAATGTCTGACACTTCCTGCAATAATATGCACCATATTTGTAACTTGTTTTTAGCCTACTGCATAAAGTAATGTCATCAGCAAAGGCATCCCAAGGAGAATCACACTTTGTAGGGACTGTTTCCTTGGACTTACTTCCATTATTCTATATGGTAATTGCCGGGTAGTCACTGTTTCCTGTCTGTGTTCATGCTTTTTTGTAAACGTTGACAGATTTCATGTAGCATTGGTAACGAACTTGCATTCCTCTCTTCAGAGGGCACAAGTCTTTGAACACTTCTTAATTCTAGCTTGGCAATGTACTTGTCTTAACTAGACTGTTTTGATAATAAAAAGTAATGTATAATTTACAATAACTAAAGTGCTCCTTTTACTTCCTTTTCTCAGAAGATCCCCAAATCACAGTCACTCATTGACACTTTCATTCAACATATATTCACTGAAGCACTATGACATAGTAAGATATATATTCGGTCTCTATTCCCAGTTCCTGACACCAAGATACATATTTGGTCTCTGTTCCCAGAGCTCCTAAATCCCTTGGAATTTTCTGGGTGTTAAGAGTGTCGTATATTCTAATGAGGCAACTCTTGGTGGGCTCCTAACTTCAGGACGGGGGCTGGTAACCAGAGAGACCAAGCCATGATCGGAAGCTTAGAACTTTGAGCCCCACTCTGCATCCTCCAGGGAGAGGGGTTGGAAATTTAGTTAATAATTGATTGTGCCTACGTAACAAAGCCCCCGTAAAATTGTCTAAATTGTGAGACTTGGAGAGCTTCTGGATTGATGAATACATCTACATGCTGGAAGGGTGGTGTTCCCCAACCCCACAGGGACAGAAGCATCTGTGCTCAGGCCCCTTAAGGACCTTGCTCTATGTACTTCTTCATTTGGTTTTTCATCTGTATCTTTTATTATATCCTTTATAATAAACCAGTAAATGTAAGCAAGGGTTTCCCTAAGTTCTATGAACCATTACAGCTTGACATTTGGTGAAATCAGGAGGGCGTAGTGGCTTAAATGTAAATTCCCCTCCCCAACCTGTTCCCATAGAAGAAGTCACCTAGACAAATGACCTTCTTTGGCATATGGAGCAGATGCACTTTCTGCTGACCCCTGAATAGAGGGTTTGAGTTCTCTGCCACCCATGGAATTATCCAAAAGACAATCACATCCTCCTGTGGGAGCCACAGGGCACCTCACTCTCATGATACTGCAAAACATGACTGCCTCCCACTGCCTCTGGTTGTTCACTCTGTTCCCAAATGCAACCTTCTGACCTCTGATTATGTGATTAATAAACTGCTGCCAATTTCACCTGTGTAATGATGGATGTCATGCATTTGGCCATCTCCATAATCTTAGGATGGGAATCCTTCCCTCACCAATGGGGTGAAAAGGAGGTGATTAAAACACCCCTAATTCCTGGCCAACTGGCCACCCTCAAAAATTAAAAGGCTTGGCATGGTTTCTGCACAGTCACTGTCTGTATAAAGCCCTGCCTTGTAGAGCCTGCAAGAAACTGGGACCACCACCCCTCTTTTATTCAAATGAGCCAAACGTGTGCACTGGGTGTGGTTTTTCACTTCCTACTGCTTATATATTTCTCAACCCATATTCTAATCCCATGCAGTCATCATTCTGGGAATCCCGAGTGTCCCCTGACTCATTTCTGCCCTCTTTGGAAGAGATCACTATCTTTTTTTGCTTTTACTGTGATCTTTCAGTTTCCTCTTTTCCAGTCCCAGAAGGATTACAAATTATGTTTCCAGACATGATTCACAGAGAGCATTTTGCATTTCTAACATCCTTAGTTCCTCTTAATTGTCAAGGTCACATGAGACTGAGTCTTCTGGAATCAGCAGAGGAGGTAGCTAACACTGACTGGCCATTTTAACCAAATAATTGCCTTTTTTTTTTTAAGTTCATTTTATTAATTTTGAGAGAGAGAAAGAACAAGGGAGGGACAGAGAGAATGGGAGAGGGAGAGAATCCCAAGCAAGCCCTGCACTATCAGTAAAGAGCATGACACGGGGCTCAAACTTACAAACTGTGAGATCATGACCTGAGCCAAAATCAAGAGTCAGATGCTTAACCAACTGAGCCACCCAGGCACCCCTAAATAACTGCCATTCTTGACAAGGTTGAATAAGTGTCTTATGCAAGCTTGTTGAGTATGGTAACTTATGAGCTATATTTTATTTCCCCAAGCAAAAAATAAGCTCCTCAAAGGCAAAGGGTTCATCTTGGTTTGGGGTCCATTGCATGCCTATTGCAGCACATGGTACAGTAGGAAAGAGACTCTGGAAACTGATCACCTGAAGTCAAATCCTGCTCACTCACTAATTCGCTCAGTGGCCTCAGGCAGTTTATCCAATTCTTAGAATGCTCAGTTGTATCTTTGTGTCCAATGGGTTGTTTTAAGTCTTAAATATTATAAGTGTAAATGTATGTAGAGCACTTTGCTCACCACCTGTTGCAGTGTAAGCACTCAATAATGTTGGCTATTATTATTTTTTAAAGTTTCAGGGGCACCTGGGTGGCTCAGTCAGTTAAGCATCCAACTTCTGCTCAGATCATGATCTCGCAGATCATGGGTTCGAGCCCTACACTGGACTCTGTGCTGACAGCTCAGAGCCTGGAGGCTGCTTCAGATTCTGTGTCACCCTCTCTCTCTGCCTCTCCCCCACTTGTGTTCTCTCTCCTTCTCTGTCTCTGTCTCTGTCTCTCTCAAGAATGAATATTAAAACAATTTTTTTTTAAATAAAGTTTTAGCCATAGGTCTAAATATGCTAGCTAGTCATTGATGTTATTTTTTAAAGTTTATTTATTTATTTTTAGAGAGAGAAAAAGAGAGAGAGCATGAGCAGGGGAAGGGCAGAGAGGGAGAGAGGATCCCAAGCAGCTTCCACGCTGTCAGCATGGAGCCCAACTCAGGGCTCTATCTCACAAACCATGAGCCAGATGCTTAACCAACTGAGCCACCCAGGCACCCCTGTTATTTGGATGGTGCCCTAGTATCACTCCTAAACCCCAGGCCCATATATTTAACCACCTCTAGATATTCTACTTAAAATACTTTAGAGGCAAATCAAATGGGTACAAAGGAGAAATCACTATCTATCTCTGCTCTCTCCACCTCACCCACAGGTGCTCCTCCAGAAGTTCCAAGCTCAGTAATAGTGTCACCTGCCATCAGCTCAATTTCCCAAACCAGAAATCCAAGGGACAGTCTCCATGTCCCCTGTCCCCTTTCTCTATCCCCATTCCATTCAATCTCATTAATTCCCTCAGCAAACATTTACTGAGCAACCCAGCACTGCACAGTTGGTGTGGATAAACAAGTAAACAAGACAGGCTCCCCTGGAGGCTAGGTGCAGCGGGGGAAGCAGGTAAGCGATATGTAAAGAAATGAGATGGGAATAGCTTGGGATAAAGGGTATGAGAAAAACAAGCAGCATGCTGTGAAGAAACAATAGAATTACTTCTGACAGGGGTCAGGGATGGCCTCTCCAAGGAAGTGGCATTTAAGCTGGATCTGAATGTCAGGAAGTTGACAAGTTGGAGGAACACAGGGACAGCAAGTGCAAACACTGAAGTGGAAAAAAAGTGTGTTCCAAGAGCTGTCTGATGGCGAGTATGACAGGGACATTTACTATACAGTCCTCGTCTTCTGGGTCTATTTGGGGAGGGACTTGTTTTCTTACTGCTTCATAAATGGTGTGGGTCCATCCCAGTGAACCAGAAGGTTAAAGAAAGGCAAAATCCACACAGGCAAGAGTAACCATGGGGGGCTTTGTGGAGCTCGTGAGACATGAGCTGGCCCTCCCTAGATGAAGAGAGCGGGAACATGGGACACACTGTCTGGTGGGATGAGAAGAGGCACTGCTGACAGGAACAGCAGCATGAAGCAGGCCCAGAAAGAAATGAGAATGTATGTGCTCAGATTACTGGTAGACCTGGCTGGCTCCCCAGAAAGGAGATGAAGATTAAAAAGAGACTGATTTCAGGAACTTCCTTAAACAAAACAAACAGAAAAAAAAAAAGCGTAGATGTTTGGACCAATTGCAAAGTCAAGATGGGGCAACTCTTGGGTTGCCCAGGGACATGAGGAGAGCAGTGACTCAAGAACATCCTTTGGGCAGTCATGAGGATGTCGGCTGGAGGGGAAACCTAGAAAGTTGGCTGGGATCATATAGGAGTGACTAAGGAAGCAACCTGACAGGAACCCCTGGGGGAGGGGAAGGAAAAGAAAAAAAAAAAAAGAGAAAGAGAGGTTAAAATGGGACACAGCCAAAG